GTTAGACGTAAAAAGTTGGCTGACCAAGATCAGTTGGCCTGTGAACAGCGAGGTAAAGAACTAAAACATCAGAACTATTTAACAAATGAAGGAAAGCGAAGTAAGACTTACATTGATAAAAGTAGAAAAACGTATTCAACAAAAACAGAAGAGGAAAAAAATCAGACGAAAATTTGCAGGGGTGGGGCTGGACGTAGAAAGCTGACTGACCAAGAACAGTTGGCCTCTGAACAGCGACATAAAGAAGTAAAAAATCAGATTAGAGAAACTGCTCCGAATAAGACACTAAATTAACACCCCGAAGGGGGATAGTTTAGTGTCTTACTCAAGATTTTAAAACGCATCCACCCCCCCCGAAGGGGGGGGGTTCGCCAAATGTTTAAACCCCCATTCAGGGGGTTAGTTTAGTTTTTTACTCAGGAGTTAAAACACTTGAATGAGATACTAAACTAACCCCCCCGAAGGGGAGATAGTTTTGCGTGTTACTTAATATTTCAAAAAGCAATTGTTTTAACCCTCAATTCGTGGCGGTTAGTTTAGTTTCTTACACAAGGTTGGTGGCGTTTTACAAACTTGACCAACCCTTCCTAGGAGCTCCGAAAGGAGCGCCCTGCTCTAATATAACTAAAATGAGATTTTGCTTACGCTAACGGGGGTTTTGTCGTAGCGGAAGCCTCGACCATTCAAACTGAGGTGTGTTTGGTTTCCGTAGAACGTGCCTTTGTCGTTCTCCTGCCTACAAGCTCTGTGCGCTCAGTTTGCGAGGCGAGGACCTTCACCAAATACTGTTAAAATGGGTAAAATAATGAAACAATAGATGGGCGGGACATGTAGCGCATACTGGCACATTTTGTACAAATTACTAAATGCACAGACCGTACTAATTGAATCGGCGGATTTCATCAACGAATTTCCTGTCTTTGTTTTTTTGTACAACATTCGTTGTAGCCACATTTTAAGTCACGCCAGTGCGTGTTTCAGGGTTGCGGTATGTGAGGAACTTCGGTCGCTTGCTCTCAGAGTTGAGTCTGTGCACGCAGAAAACATTCCGTGTCTGATCTGAATTTTTCCCACCGCCTTTAATGCTGTTCCCGTCTTTCTGATGTTCTTTTGTTTCTCGCGTGACCAGTAAGCCTATTCATAAGTGTATCAGGCCACGTGGCCACGCTTCAGACCCGCCGTAGCAAACCCTGAAGCTGTGACAGTGATTTATTATGTCGTCAGCTTCCAGTTGTTGGCATCGTTAGCACGTGCTAATTACAGGACACGCGTCCGAATCGACTGGAGCCTTCGTCCACGCGTTTTACGATGTGTCTCGACGAGTAAATACAGCGCGTGTTCACAGACGGAAAACCAGAAAGGCTTGGTCAGTGACGACTGTTTCATAATGAGGTCACAGGTGTAACAAAGCGGTCGGAAATTTCGAAGCACAGCTGATCGTTATGACACTGTACCGCTGTGCTACGCGTTCCATACAATTTCGCCGATGTTATCACCGCCTTCTGTTTAACGCTGTGAAGCTCACAAGGGAACTCTTACCCACTGGAGTCCAGTAATGCACAAACATTTTATTTCTATACTGCGTTCCAGCGTTTTTGGCCGCTGAACTCTGTAAATTGGAACATCGGAGCGAGTCACTTACTAGAAGTTTGCTGGAAGGGATGGCAGCAGGCCGCGTACAGTACATTCCAAATAAAATATCACCACGGAGTGCAACACAGGGCAGTCGATTTCACTACATTACAGATCCCCAGAAAATTAACACTGCAGAGAGTATTAGATAATTTTATCTAGTTTTTCCACATGCCAAATTTCTTCGAATCCCTGGCGACACAGATGCTCGACGTCCTTAATTTTAAATGTCGTGTTCTTGCTTACAACTCATTGTTTTAAATCTGCCCAAATAAGTTCATTGGGGTTTAAATAGGGATTGTACGGTGGAAGTCTCAGCAAAGTACGTTCTTTGTCTGCTGAAATCTGATCACTCACATAATATTTGTGCTTTGACTTATTTAATTTGATTAAATCGTACAGTTTGAGCTTTCAACACGTCACAAAATGGGATCTTTATTTCCAATAGCCAGGCTTTCATTTCTTCCTTCTTTGATTAAGACGTCGGTGGTGTGTCTGTCTGAGTATTTTGATACGAGGCGTTATCAGTGACCAGGAAGGAGATTGCAACGAACTGGTGACATGTTAACACAGTACGGTCGGAAGACAACAATTACGAGGCTTCTACACTGCTGCGTTGACACAGACTGTCCTGACCGACCGAAACTCCTTCCTTCCATAATTGAGTGGTCCGCATACTGGGCACTCCCTACAAGGTCAGCGGCCATAATCGGTGGATCGAGTTCTACCTGCTCAGTCAACGAAGATCGTGGCGGAAGAAGCTTTACAACAGCGTAGCAGGAAAGTGTCACGTGGCAGGTTGGAATAGTCCATTTACACGTGGGTCGCACTGATTCCGATTAAAGGGTTCTATCGTGTTACCAGATTATCGTTGTGTTGCGTTTTTAATCCGACACTCTGTAGGTGTTTTTTTTCCAATCTCCATGTTGCAATGCCGCTCCATCACCTCAATTTCATTATCGATAGTGACAGTTTAACGCGTGAGCTGATCGATACACACCGGGGGAGCAGAGAAGTCAGTCCTCGTTATCTGATCGGTTTACCTCAGGCCTCGGAAGGTAAAGAAGGGAGGAGGATGAATGCCTTTAAACGAAGAATAGGAAACAAATAAATTTTAAATAAAACTCTGTAGGAACTTTAACTCACACGAAAAGGTAGATTCCGTCTTAAGATGCAAAGAAATTTCCCGTCTTTTATGGGATTCAAGAGGTCATTACCCAGTCCAGGTACCGGGATAATTACCTCTTTGACTAGGGAATGAGCAATTCATATTAGCCTGTGACGAATAAAGACTTTTAGGTTCTGTAAACAGAACTTGAATTGAATTTCAACTGCTTTTCGAAGAAGATAATATTGGAGCAAAAACATTGACGTAGAAATAAATACTAACGGAAGTAATCAGCGAGGTCAGTACTAAGTAGTTACAAAGGAATTTCAAATGTGCGTGGCAAGATCTCTTCTTTAATACGGTTTAGAAGCGTGAACGATGAATTAATTAAATAAGTGGCGATCGACCGAGTCTAATAGCAGCGTTCATAAGTGGAGTGAAGATGTTGCGTGCGGAATTACGTTTTTGTAATGTGAAGTTTACGGATAGAATTGAGAATTCAGGCCACCAAGGCCAGTCCTTAGTTAAAGATGGCGATCAGGTCTGCTCGAATCCCGGCATTATCTGGTTATTATTGTGTGGCATTTCTCCGTGACGTAGTGCTGATTCCATCATGGCGGCTTAAGCGTCAGCGAATAAATGTACTTCGTTGTTGTTTGCGTCTCTGATTTGAATTTTGAGGTGGATCCAAAATTTGTAGGAAATCCGTACAAGCCTGCGGCTATGGTTACTGCAGCGAGAACCAAAGTCACCACGTGTCAGCGGGCGAGTTTTATTTTTTTTTTGGGGAGGGGCATATCAACATCTGTATACTTACCCAGAACTGATGAAGAGTGAACATTCAACGAGATACAAGTAAAATAAACTAGATGTAGCAGCACAGTGTAAAAAACAACATATCTTTTATTTTATTATTATTATTAGTGTTCTGTGTGACGACAGGTCCATATGAACAGGATCCTTCCATCCTTTTCTCGGACTGCGACCTGTTCATATACGTTCTTGGCAGATGATCCAGAAGTGGTTTGCCATTGCCTTATTCTGTGTGTGAATGGAGTAATTGTTGGGATGCCCGGACGAAAACTCCGTGTTGCCTAGACCACGGCCTTGCCCAACACAAGTTATAAATTCGGGCACCGCCGGGAATCGAACCCGAGACCCCAGGATTACAAGGCCAGCGTTCTAACCGCTAGACCACCATGGCTAAAAATCCTGAAAATAACAAATTAAAAATGGCAGCTTGAAAGTATATGGCAAAATAGAAAATAAAAAACTTGTTTACGTAGGCGTATATTATTCCGTCTTGAAGTTAAACAAAATTAGAATTAAATCTTGAAATTATTCATTGTCAGGACTTTTCCCATCGTCTGTTTTTTTCAGTGACAGAGACTACATCTATCTAAGGGACCCAACAGAGTAGGTACCTCTCACCTGAAGACGGAGACAGAACCAGCCTCCGAAACGTCGTGGTTTTAAAGAACAGACTATGGAAAAAGTCCTGAGAATGAATTATTTATAAATATAATTGTCTGTGAAAATAAAAAACTGGCATCATAATAAGTGGGCGTGTTGACTTCCTCTGTTGATTCATGGTGACTTCGTAACTTGACGTGTTAAACGCCGACTCGGCCACTAATAAAGCGCACAAGGTAGTCGTCGGCCACGAGTGCTCCGGTATCCGTTCAAGCATTCGCCTTCGGGGTTTCACCGAGTTTCGAACCTGTTTCTTTCGGCTCAAATAAGCGAAACCGGTCGGTCATTACCAGAGTCAGACTGCAAATAATTTTTAGTATTTCAGCTACTATTGTCAGGAAATTCTTCTAAATTTTTTAAAGAAATTCCGTGTTATGTTCGGTTTTAATTCCTAATCAGCGAGCATCTCAAACTGACAATGGATGTTTCAGCGCACCAATAATTTTCTTTCTTGTTTTAATTCGATTCTTTGTCTCCTGTAGTCGCAGTGACTGAGTGAGTGAGGCCTCTACCCTTACAGCAGGGCACAGCACAGGGTTTTCCGTGCCGCTAGTTGGACATTAACAGGTAAGGCCTAGAATAGAATAACTTGAACACTTAGAAGAAGGGAACTTGTACATGTATGTAAATATATGCAATCAGTAGAAAGAAATGACTAATCGTTCATTAGCACGAATTGGTCGAGTCACGCCGGTAAATTTTTCCTACATGTTTCGTTCCGACTGTTGTTAGTCATTCGAAAGTAGATTTTGAACTTCGTGTATTCTTGCACAAGCTTCTCGAACACTCTCCTGAATTCTCCATCAGTTTCCCTCGTTGTGCATTAATTGTTTTTTCGAGACATGTGTTTGATTTTGTTTTACGACGTTGCTCGCAAAATACCTCAGCATTTATTGTTTCCTCTGGGTGACCGACACAGAGAGAGAGAGAGACACGAGTTAACTCTTGGCAGATCTGCTGCACCCCTCACAGCAGTGATACCCGGAAAGTGGAAGCCAGAGCGTGCGTGCATACGAAAACGTACGGTCTAGTGCGAAAGTACCTTTACCCGCTGTCCTACGTGAGCGAATGAATGCGAGCGGTGCGATTTGCGTGGGTGAAGCGGAAATATCAAACTGGCTGTTTGTGTGGCGCTGTCCTATGTTACAGCGAAGCGGTCGGCGGCCAAAGTCCGAGATCAGATATTTTGATATTTTCGCGCAGGTCGCTGCGCTGGCCAGTAAGGCGCATGCGCAGAAAGACCGTGTGTTTCTCTCACGTAGGACACAACAAGCGATTCCCTCATGTCATATGACACCCCATGCTGCTTATGCAGCTCGCACAGTTCGATTCTTATCGCTCACGTAGGACATTGCCTTAGACGCCCCTTGATACGCGTAGGCAGGAAAGCGTGGCGAATACATCAGGTAACGAACAAAAAAATTGCTCTGCTTTGACGAAACCTGCATATAGCCTAACGCATCTACTAATTTGCCTCCATTGTGTCTCTGTTCCGCTGTTTGCGGCCCGAGTGCAACGTGTCCCCACTCACCTAGCGTATCCGAGGAATACGAGACGAGGCAACGCTGGCATTTCGTCATGGTCCCTGTATAACCATGCTGTAATGCAGTAATGTTATTCAGTTAAGATGTACTTAAGTAGATCCGTCAGACTTCATTGCTGTTTATGGTAATGGAAATGGTATTTTGAATGCGAGAATGTCTGGCGAAGAAACCAGGCAAAGTCTTCGTCTCCCACGTTTGGTTTTTTACACATCAGATTCAAGGCAGTTTGCAACCCACGGTTTCCTGCAACAGATGTCTGATTACCACCCTTTGGGAATTCAGAATTATATCTCCAAGTATGAATCATTATGCGGACAGGGGATTGGACCCTGTGCAGGCCACGGGAAAACGCATCGAACCTTGCCCCCAAGCTGGATTCGAAGCCTTGTTCACTCTGCGACAGATAACCATCAACACTGCAGCAGCCATTCCTCGACACCACAAGACTCCGGAGACCTGGCGGTTAGCGCGTCTGTGGGGTGTGAAAACCACCCCAGAAGTTTGATCGCTAGGGCACAATGACGTACGAGCGTGTCTCGGACTGTCCGAGCACAGTTCGTCTTTCGTCGGAAGAGTTCGGCTTCATGCAAGTCCGTTGTCGTCCGTTCAGCTGGACGCGTGTGAGTTGCACTGGCGAGCGTACTTTGACCGAGGCGTTCGTGAAACGCCGGCAGCCCACAGCCCAGTCCCGTGTTCCCGAGAGTTAATGAAGAACTCCTGTAGGTTAGTTTAAAAATTTTGCTTTCTAGAGTGAGCGGCGTCACGATAATTCGTTCAATACGTCCCCTGCCTGTCAGCAGGCACCCGCGTCAGCGCGAAAAAATTAATGATAGCAGCCGGATTTACGCAAGACTTGCACAGTAATTGCTGCTTTGCAGTTGCGTTCCACAAACACACACGACGACTGACGTAATGATCGTGTAGCATCCGGCAAAGCCGGTGGACAGTGTCGGGTTTTGTACCACAGCGAGACCGATCGGTTTGGTCGAGACGAGTCCACCGTCGGCACCCTCCAGCCGCCATGCAAAGGCATGTGGGTTTGGCCGAGTGGAAGGACGTTCGTTTGGAACGTTTGGCAGTCAAGGTATGAGGATGTGATTTGCATCACGTACGACGCCACGTTCAGGATGGAAAGCTTGTCCCAAACTGTGTCGAAGGCGTTGGTTGGCCACATCCAGGGAACCCGCGCCGGTTACCCGCCTCCCGTCAAGTTCAAGAAGGCGGGCAAGTGCTCCGTCTGGGTCGAACCCCAAACTGCTCGAACGCAGTATCCGGCTGTTGTTTACTTCCCGGATGACCATGGCGATTAGGATCTTCTCGGAGGACAACTCCCTGTCAGGAGGCCTTGCCTGCCGCTCTGTCCGTCTTACTGTGTCGAAGCGTGGCCTGATTCTTGACGATACTGCCCCTTCGGACAACGTGGTTCCAGCCTCCTCCTCGGGAGAAGTCTAGGGTGGTGCTAATTTCGGTTTTTCCCGGCGCGTAGGCTTGAGCGTCCCGTTTGGCACGGCGGTGTGAGGATCCCATCGTGACGCCCTTCTCTCGTCTGGGGGATGGACATGGGGGCACAACCTGTTCGCTTGTGATTTATTTTTATTGGGCTAGTTGAAATCAAACTGTTACATGCACTTGTGTTCCTCGTACTTCACACTTTCGATGATTCTTTCAATATTTTCATAGGCCTACAGAATGTGCTACTAGAACTGAAGCTTTTTCATTCCCTTTGTGTAACAGCACGGCCTTCAAGCTGAATTTTGACGAATCTATAAATAGTCGCCATTCTTTTGGATCATAAATGACTCCTATTTCTTTCATAAGGCCATAAATGTCATTACAATGGCATGTGCTTAAATGTCAAAACTCACACCTAAAGTGAGGTTATGGGAGACTGCCAGTGTAGCCAGCCTGCAAAAAAAATTTATCCCTATGGAATCAAGAAATTCACTCATTTGGTAGACGTTAAGACAAAATAGCACAAAAATGGTACGTGATGGAAAAATTTCAAGGTCATATTTGAATTTTGCGCAAAAATACAATATGAAACACATATTTTCATCCATGTTACCGAAACATTGGTGACCAGTGTAATCAGAAACACAGAATTTCTGAAGAAATAGATGTCACTGCACATTATGGAAATTGTTACGAATCGAGTCCATCCACCAATCTTATCGACATCTGGCGACTAGCGTGTGTTTAAAAATGATGTGTATTGGTTTGGTTGGGTCGGTTCAAAAGCGGGGCATGCCTCTGTTGTGTGGAATGAATTTATATTGCCTGACTCGAATAAAATTAAAAAAAAAATCAGTCAGGAAATCTGCCAGTTGGTGTTATAATTTCTGGTTCTGATAATTCCCTCAATTACTTAATTTTGAAATGTTTACCCTTTAGAACAGTTTGTTCAAGACGATGTCACTTTGTAATGTCTTCGCCGTTCAGTCATTGACACGTATTTGCGTGCCTCTGAGGCAGGCGAGAGAACTGTCTGCTGTGAGCGTGACCAGCGCCTTACGACTGCAAATGACATGTCCAGACTCTTGGACGTTTTTGGCAGAAATTTCTTCCTTGAGTGCACTTTCTCGATACGGTAATAAAATCGAGGAGGTGATATTTGCGAGACACGTAGCATGCATGGGGGAGATGGTATAAGTGCGAGACTTGGATTTCTTTGCGAAGTCTGAAGGGAATTTAGCTGTTGCAAGAACAAGACGGAAGTGGGTGTATAATATTAAAGTAGATGTTAAAGAAATAAGATAGGAACATGTGAGCGTGATTAATCAGTATCGGTTTAGAGGCGGTGGTTAGCTCTTACGAACCTACACGTTAGATAAAAGACGGGGAATTTCATGATTAGCTCAGCGACCATCAGGTTCTCCATCGATTTAGTACATTCTTTACTGAACGAATAATTTAGTAGTCTTACTGGAAAGAATGGTGATCATTCGGTTTTCAAGGATCAATTCACGTATGATCTGACTGTTTTTATCGCCCCTTTGAGGAGCAGTGGTACCGGTAACCATTTTTACCGCCTACGTGGCGTGGTATGTGACCCATATATATAATTCATAGGTGCCTTTCAGTTCTCAGTTGGCTGCGAACATCTATTATTACTTTACTGCACGCCGTGAACTGATCTCTGGGACAGTTGTGGCGAAATTCGGACTCACTGAAAACCTGAAACTACGAGGCTCTCCCACGGACGAATGAGTGTCGTGACGCGCACAGCACGTGCAAGATCACGCGTTTCTGTTCTTGCGTAATGATCATCCGGGGAAAGTGGTTTCCTTCTGTACGGTCCCTGACAGAATGCAGTAAACTTTCAAACAGGTACAGCAAACGCAGATTGCTTCGTTGATTAACGTCTCCGGATCAGCTGCAGAGGAGAATAAGTTTCGAATCAGAGTTGAAAACGTCCGTGTTGGTATTGCGGGTTGCACCACCGTGTTGTTCGACGTCACCCTCGCTCAAAGGCCGACGCCGACACCCATTTGATCATACGCGTGTTCCCTGTAATGATATTTGAACCAGTAATGTTCTTTATACGAAATTCTTACGCCTCCACTCGCCCAATGTTTAATTGTCTGCCTTCGGTAGTACCAAAATGACGATAATGCGAAGTTCGAGGCGAAAGTGACACTAACTACACTTATCACAGGCCAGTGACATCTTTAGTGTTACATGTTCGAAAGATGTGGAGTTCTTGAAGTACGAGGTGCGATCGGAAAGTTTCAAGACTACGCCTATAAAAGCCCGTACACTTATCTCAGGTATTAAATTCATCCATCACCCTCGAAGTAGTTCCCCTGGGAGTGAACACAACAATCCCAGCGCCGCTGCCAAGCCTGGAAGCATCCCTGGAAATCTTTCTTTGTCAGCCTGTCAAGCACCATCTGCGATTCTGCCTGAATCTCTTCTATCGTCTCAAATCTCCTTCCCTGTAGCTGAATTTTCATCTTTGGGAAGAGGAAGAAGTCACACGGAGCTTAGAAAGGAAGTTGGGGTCGGTTCTTGCAAGATCTTTGACCTCCTGACAAACGAGAAGTCGATTCTGCTTCTAGTCCTCTGACAGGATGCGTCGCATGTGGAGTTCTTCCTTTAGAATCAGCTAACAGGTCCCATAGCCTATCCCAACAATGTCGCACAAATCGTTGATGGTACGACGTCGATCTTCGTAACAGTTTCGGGCGTTGTGCTCGAAGATGGTCGGCCAGAACGCTCGTCATCATCGACAGAGGTTCGGCCATTTTTAAAACGTGAATGCCACACAAAAGTTTGCGGACTCCCCAAATGCTTGCTTTAGCATTTCATAGGTTTCCGTAGCCGTTTTGGCGAGTCTTTGGCAAAATTTGATGCACACGCCATTCCGAAATCGCAGGAGGGTCGGTGTAATGCACTACCAAAACGCCCATAACTAAATGCTAATTCGATGATGCCGGCTGGCACACTGATTCACTATGAATGTAGGCCGCACCCCCTAGCGGCAGAAGCTCGTACTACATCCGGTTCGCCCTCTATTGACACAGTCTTGAAACTTTCCGATCGCACCTCGTACGCTTTAAATGTAAACCACGTCAAATACACTTTTTATACGTTGCCAAACATGGCGACTGTCCGATCCTTTAAGATTAGGTCACGAACTTCCAGTCGGTGGAAATCTTTTTTGAAGAAACTTTGCGGTGTAGTAGTCAAGGCGTTGGGCCATCAACTGAAGTTTTTCTTGACGCAAACACATCTTCCGAAATTATACTTCAGCAAGTGTTCTCCTTGCGTGATCTGTGGCTGCCAAGTTAGGTTGTTCGCGACATTTATTTATACTCGCTAATTGGCCTGGTGTTTACTGTCGCAGTAACTCCAACATTGCGCCATATCTGTTGACGTTTAGCAAACTGAACATCACGATAGAACGATTATCTGTTTATATATTTATTTTTTAATTACGAAATATTGAGTTGACCAAATGAAGATGAAAGAGGCGGGTAAATTACTACGCGTTGGGAGTTAAATGCCTTTTGTCTGCTGTTTTGAAGTCTGACGCCGGTGTAATTGATGGTTTTTGTATAGTGCAGCTCCTTGGTTATCTGTAGCAGCAATTTACGTAACTTAACTAACCTGACGTGTGAAATGGAATAATTTTGCTTATTACGAATGAGACATCCATAAATACGTCAGGAGGTAAATTTTGTTTCCGTGTCCCTGGAGCCCGAAAAGTGTAATCTGGTTAATTGAACGTGGCGTGCACGTCGTCAATTTGATCAGGCCGCGCTCCCACGCGTATGTGCAAAGAACACACGTGGAGTATGCACGTGGGACATGAGATTACGTGGCGCCGAATCAATGGAGGCAAGCAGCGACGGTTGCATAACGATAAGGCGGCATCTATGCACTGACTTGTGAACTTCTTTGAACCACCGAAACTTGGAATTATACAAAATTGTTTTCTCCTTTCGAGGAGTAGCCTGTCTTGTATTTAGTCCATCGCTTCCTAGATCTAGCAATACGTTGCCTTCCTCTGCCAACGGCTTATGTCTTGCGCTGATTTGTTTTTCCCTATATGTGACGCTTTTGACATCTCTTCCTAGATCTAGCAATACGTCGCCTTCCTCTGCCAACGGCTTATGTCTTGCGCTGATTTGTTTTTCCCTATATGTGACGCTTTTGAAAATTAAATTTCAAGTTTTGAGATTTGAGGTTTTCACGTCAGTGATAATAATCTTCAGGGGTTTGGCGCCTTTGGGCTAGACTACAGACGTATACTTCAAATCTGCATCTGCTTCTGAAGATGGAGCCAGTTTGTTTCTCCGAATAAATGTTGGTGTGGATCGAGGAAAACTTGTACTTGTAGGCATTTCGCATGAAGTTATTACGACGACAGTTTCAGAAAGCCTCTTCGACTCTTGTCTCCGTCCGTGGACGTCAAAATGCAGTCCGTAGACAGACACAGCCTGTCCCAAAAAGACACGTACACAGCAGCAAGTTTGCCCACCGCCGTCAACCGTGCCACGGAGCCGACGGTGGCCGTCTTGAACACGTACCCTACATTCCCTAAATCACTTGAGTGCCAATGGTGACGTATTTATGGTTTAGTTTATTGAAATGTCTTTATTTCATTCCTTGAATACGTGTCCACATCTTTGGGACACTCGATGCGTAAACATGACAGAACTGTTCTTATATAAGCCTTTTGTTAATTCTGGACGTATTTTTGTTCAGCTTAAGGGGCGACGCCACTGGAATTGCGTTTAACTGATACGAGTTGAGTTCTCTGTCCCGTTATTTGCAACGGGCTGTTCCCCTGGTATTCCTAGAACATGCACTGAATTTGGTATTAAGTCAGCTCACTGAGCGTGCAGATGGCTGATTGAAGGGACTGGGGTAAGGTACTAGCTCCGGGGGTACTCTGCCCCGCGACCTTACTGGGGGGCAAACCGACCCAAGAGCGATGCTGACTCTCAGCCGAGGAAAAATACCTCCACGCCTCTTATATGCGCCATGATGTGGACACCTTTAAAGTATCTTCGTCATTTCTCTGAAATTATGTTTGTAAATATCAGCATCTTTGGTTTTCCGTTCCCGAAATCAGCCGGTTGTAGAAGACGGCTGGTCGCAAGTTCTTTGCCAGAGACTCTTTTAAGGACGGACGTTTCAGTCTTCGTCATTGGATGAGTGACACCATCGCAATCAACATTTCCCACCTTTCGGAGGGTTTTACTGTTCATTCTGTGATTGCTCGATTGGGCCATCAAGAGGACTAACTGAGCGGTAAAGTGTCCGATTTGTACTTCGGAGCATTTTGAAGCAACGTCGTCAGCGAACGTTCGAACGAGGTTCGCTGCACGTGTATGGCCCCCTGAGAACATTAGTTGAGCCGACTTATGAGTTATCTCGGAGTGTTTTGGGCCACGAGGTCAATGTACCTTGGCCTTGGAAGCAGTTGTTTGATCGCACTTCCTGTTCCGTGTGCGTTCAACAGCTGCGTCTCGGACTGATCGTTTACCAGTTGTTTCTGAAGATGGAGTGCGTGCGTGCAGATACGCAGTTGTGATTTCTCTTACCAGCGTTAAGAGTAGTAGGTGTTGCTGGTTTAAATCAGCAAAAATTTGGAAAGGAATGGGCTAGAGTCGAGTGCCAGTCACAACGCATATTTTGAAGTTGTGATTTAGCGAATGGAATTTTTGTTCGGTTGGTAGGAGTGGCTTCATTGTGTGAGTCTTTTAAGCTACTCTGCCAGTGTTACCAACATATGCATCTAGCATTTTAATTTGGCGTATTCTTCCTGAAACAAAAAGCCGTGGTTACGTAACTAAAGAAAGGTCTTCCAACACTCCACATTCGACAAATGCAGCTGACAAGCCGGCAAACGATTAAATAAAATAACGAAACTGAAGCTCTGACTTCTCCGTTAACCTATTGTAACCTTCCTGTACTCGGAGGACTGATTACTTTCACAAAAAAGTCGCCTAGACGTATCCCCCCCCCCCCAAAAAAAAAAGAGATGAAGGATAATTCACCGGAGTAATCAAATACCCAGCACTAAGACGCGCTGGAAATTATAATTTCAGAGGCGAGGTTTAGGACGAAGGGAACGCTCGTCGTCCAGAACTTTTTTCTGTCTTTAAACGTTAAGATTAAAATATACAATATTATAATTATGTCTCTGGTTTTGTATGAATGCGAAACTTGATATGTTACATTAAGTGAAGTACGCAGATTAAGCTTGTTTCAGACTGGGGGTACAGGAGATTATTTGGACCCAAAGGGGGGGTTCTTCCCCATTCCTAAGACCTAGGCGTGGGTGGCAGGATAATATTAAAATGTATCTTGTGGAAGGGAGGGTGTGGACGGGACTGAGCGACTCCGCTCCACGGATTGCGTTCCGGGTGACGGAGGACTCGACCACAGTGGAATGTTTTTTAAGTGTCAGTTGTTGCGAAGGACACGCGGTCGGATATGCTCGTACTCCTTCCTTCTTCGAGCAAGAAGGAAATCCATGAGGTGGTTTCCAGGTAGGAATTTCCCTGTTCCGCGTTCACTCACTGCGGTCATAAACATAATTATCTCGGTGTTATGTGGCGAAGCTAGGCCAGTTCAGAAGTCCGGTCGTTTCTGCAGACGTTAGGCCTGTTTTTGAGATTTCATGTCCTCTGCAACGGTGTTTCTGGTCGTGACGCCCTGAACACTAGAAGGTGCAGTGACGCTAGATGGCAGCAGATCGACTTGTTTTTGTGTCGATTTTCCCGTCATCGGTTATGAAGAGTCGAAATGTTCGCTTAGAACGAGCCACTCGCGAACACTGGGCCACTGTTTGAGAACAGCCAAGACGACGGAGATGTCCACGGTAATAGTCGTGTTTATTCCGAGGAATTCTTCGAACGTTCACTGAAAAATCCCCGTTGCTTTCACGTTTTGCTTTTGACGCAGAATTTACGTAATTCTTCGCCGAGACCTCCCGAAAGTTTCCATCTTGTTACAATGAATAGGCATAACATATGAGTTCTAATTGTCGTACAAATTTGCGCGGAGCCTTTTCCTGTACAGTACTTGGCTACATTTAAGCCGCTCATATTTTCATCGATAAATACAGCTGTGTGTCTGTCTGTCTGTCTGTATGGTCCTGACAACTGCGTAAATCGGCCGATGTTAGGTTTCAGTCAGACGAATCTATTCGTCGAAAGAAATGCGGAAGGGGGGGAGACAGTGACGTATACATCCTTGTGCGAGTATTTAGGGTCTGACGCCGTGACACGTGTGTTCCAGGTTGTGGCAGGGTTCAGATGGGAGCTGCCGAAGGGGCTTTCCCGCGCCACGGCGCGAGATTGATGGACGCCGACGCCAATATGAACTGCACCAAACGACGACCAGAAGAGGCGAGGAGTGACGTTGTGGCGGCAGCAGCAGCAGCAGCTGAGACGCCAAAGGAAGGCGAGGACACTGGGCGGACGCGTGACTACGTCGCGACGTGGCGCTGGCCGGACCTCGCAGTTCAGCTGTTTATTCACGTCGGCTGCCTGTACGGGTTCTACCTCATATTAACGTCTGTCAGGCTCCTCACGACGATATGGGGTAAGTCGCCCTTCGTGACGAGGTGCTTTGCCGTCCGTGCTGTTCACCAGAGTTCCTTCGGTGTGCGGGGGGGAGTGGGAGGGGTGGTTAATATGGCCGTTGAGTAGTCTGTATCTGCTGCTGATTAATAACCAATTTCATGAAGCAGAGTTCTTCTCGATGAGCTAATAGTTGCTCATCTGACCACAACCTCTCCCTTTTGTGGAACGCGAATGTTCATTGCCGTGTTCACAAGAGCCCACCACAGAATCCTGCCTGCTTAACCCAGTCAATTCCCTTCTCCAGGTTTGTCTTTGATACATTTTAATATAACCTTTCCATCCTCCATGTGGTCTATTCGCTTTAGGTTTTCCGTGAAGAACCTTTTACGCATTTACAATCTTCTCCATGCGGGGTGCACGCCCCCATTTTGAGCCCCCTTGCTTTGATCACCCTCGTAATATTTGGTGAAGAGCACACTGCAAGTTATGAAGGTCCTCACTACGCAGTTTTCTTCAGGCTCTTGAGATGTTTTCCCTGTCAAGACCAACCATTCTCCTGAACGCCTGCAATGTTCGTTTGCCAGTGTAAGATACGACCATACAAAACAACGGGACTGCTGATTAGCGCTGTCGAAAATGTTTGCGAATTTCGACTTATCGCATCAGAAACGAACGACTGATGCAAGATTGCAAGTGACGTTCTCAGAAACCGAGAAACTGGAATGAACTGCCCATCCTCGTTTCACGTGCGGTTTGAGGAAATAGAAGACGCTTCGCGTGTGTTGAAGGCGTGGAAAAAAGTTCTTACTGCTTTGAGGAAAAGCAGTTCTGCGAAGTCTGCCACCTGACATAATTTCCAACGAAGAGCCTTCGTACGAGACCCTCGCGGAGAATTTTATTTGTCGGAATGCCTCGAATCGCGCTCTGACTCAATTCGTTTTGACGCAGCGAAGGTCGGCGCGTCTCGTCCACCTTCACTTTTCCGCGTCCCATCGGAGCTAAAGGTTCGTAGCTTTGTACTTCCATCGGCGCCAGCCGTACGAAGTAAATTTCGCCGTTTCCGGGTGTTCCACCCGGAGCCTTAACGAAAGACAATATGAAAGCGGGTCGTAGTTGTGAGCGCTTCTGGACGAAAGTTCAAACTCTGATTTTATAACGGAGATGTGAATTTTTACGTAATTGATGTCATTCGTTGCAGTAGGTAGCTTCCGAAACGTAACAAATGCACGTCGTGAATCATTGTCGTAGAGGATCGTGTGGGATGAAAAGGAACCCACAGTGAGAACGAAGGTGTTTTTAGAAGGAGGCAGTCACGGCCTATTTCAAAACTTTTTTTTTCTGGCCAGGAGCAGCACACGGCCCGCGAACTGCATGTGGCCCGCAGCCCCCACCCCTTCCCTCGTGCCAATAAAAATGTTTCTGACGTGATGTGGCTGTCTAGAACAGCGGTATTCAACCTTTTTTGTTCGCGTACCCCCAGATGTAATTTCTCTTCAACTTTGTACCCCCAAAGGCGTATAATTTAAGTTATACATAGTATATAATCTACATCTAAAATAAATTAAATAAATTACATTACTGATTATTCAGTGTTTATCTTAAAATAATATTTTTTTTTAAATTTCACGTACCCCCTAAGATGTCTTCGCGTACCCCAGGTTGAAAACCACTGGGCTAGAAGACGCCCCTGCCTTCCCCTTTCCACTAGATATAGAAGGTGTGGTCCCTTCACGCTGTCGTAGTCTCGTGTCCGAGCGCAAATATCAGGAGTCCAATTTCCCCGATTGCGAAAAAGACTGAGAGAGATGTTTGCCGATTTGGAAACTGTTGTTCTGGAAGAGAATAAGAAAAATGCTGTGCAGTCGATCCTTGCCAGTGCTAGGACGCCCGTCGTGGCGGTAATTCTCTGTTCACTGTCGCACTTAAAATGAATGCAAGGAAGAAGCGTAAGATTGTAACAGAACACCGTCTGATGACTTCTTCAACCGGGTTTTGTCGCCACGAAGACTCGTGGGTAGAAGCCGGCTTGTCGGCGAAACATCCTGTCTTCGGGGCTGAAGCGGCTTTTCCTTCTTCCCAGCCTGTATAAATCCCTCCACTGCTCAGCATTGCCACTTCAGCCCTGAGGACAATAGCGAATACTCGAAATCTCAGAACAGTGTTCGTAATTCTGCAAGTTTCGATGTTATTTGGGACGAAGCACAAAGATCTTATGAAACCGGATGAGTCTGAAAGAATGCTAACAGCTGTTAATTTGAAGAAAGCACTTTCGTGAGTGAGGCTGTACTGAGTCACAGTCGGTTATCAAAGTGAGTCTGAAAATTTGCGGAGAAATAGCTGCGTGGGTGCGACCGTTCGCCGAAGGTGAGAGTCATTAAGTGGCGATCGTTAATTGCTGATTCAGAATTGTTCCTAAAAAATAATTGTTTCTTTCTTCTTGTGTGAGATGATGTTGACGGCTCTCAAATTACCGGAGACCTAGTGGGCGCGTGTTCCGTGCACGGTCGCGCAGCTGGACGAGATTATCTCCGATGAAAAGCTTGTAGTGGATCACTGAAGCCCCCCCAAATCTTCCATCGAATGCATTTGATTTGCATGTGATGGTTGGGAAAAAATATTTGTTCCTTTGCCCTTCGTCTGGCGAACAGACTCCAGGAAGTATCAAGGTCAGGCAGGTTTTATGTAGCAAGGCGATCAATTTCAACCTGTTATGAGTGTGGTTGTTGCTGTTGGGAATTACGACTTGTACTTCCTGGCGTATGACTTTACAAACCATTCACCCACCGGCTGAGTATACAACTTCAGGTCATGTCTCAATTTGGTTTTGATATGCTGAATGCCGTGAAATAATTTGAAATGAAACGGAATTTACAAGGCAACCAACTTGCAAAAGGCGAATTCACACATTTTCCTGCGTATATGAAGAGCGCTTGAACTGAAGACCATTTTACGTCTGCGAGAGAGTTACTCAGATGACATCAAACTACTAAGTGCGGAGCGGGGACACGATACTCTTCTCGCAGTTAATCGAATTACAGTACTGAGATGAACACCGGAATTTCACGTCCTGCGAACTGTCTTCAGAGCCCCAGTAAACATCGAAATGAACGCTGTTTCGCTGACCAGCTTGTCACTTTTTTCGGGTTCAACAGCTTACAGTAGTCGGAACGAATCTCTGCGTTCCACGTCCGTCAAATGCATGGGGTCCGAGGCGTTTGCAAGGGTAAAGGAGAAACCACAAAGATTGTTTCCCAGTGGCTATGATTTGTACCTCGCTGTCTCAGTTCCTGTGTCGGCAATGCCTTTGGTTCCTTCTCCCTGCAAGCTAGTGACGCACGCTAAACTCACACTTTGGCCCAGGCTACTAAACACGATATCCTACGAACAGGTTCATCACATTTGGAACGGAACTGCGAGACGGTGTCGTGTGTACCAGAGAAAATATGACGTTTTGACATCGAGACTAGGACATGTGCTTCGTGTATGTCAGGAACTATTTTGGAGCGACGCGGATCAAAAATTGAATCCGAAAACTTTAAGTCTGGGGTTCAGATACACGATTTTGGCCAAGTTCGTTGACACTAACAGACGTCCTACTCATGTGATTCGTAAGAAATCGATCGATCGATCTCTTAACTCGTATTTTGGTAGCGTCAACGCTTGTTCGGCCACCCGAAGCTGCAACTCTCAACGACCTGTCGTCCTTCACTGGCCCAGAAATGGCGGCCGGGTCACGTGTGTCCCAGTGACGTAACAACCTAAAGCCCAGGTATAAGTGGGTTGCGTAATCCACTGATGTTCTGTAGGTGCAGGGGATCACCGCCGATCCATGAGGCACTTGCGATGCGGGTAACTGCCGGTGAGGGCAGAGGAGACGACGAATTTGTTGACATGAAGTCGTCCTTTTGAAATTCATTTTTGGCAATTATTTCGAAAACGGAACATTTGCGACCCCCATGTTCATAGAAACATTTTTTCATCCTGGAACACGCACACGAAGTTTTTTTTCTAAACTTACTTCTGACTCACTTTGTATAGACTTTCAGTACTTTGTAAGTATATAATAATAAGTCCCCACATCCACTGGCTTTTACCGTTCCGCCATCGTGAACAAATATCTGTGGCAGTTGTGATTTTGCTGTCGTGAATTTCGTAGATTACAGTTCGCTCCGGGAATTCTGTCTAACGGCGTTTACAGTTTCAGGACACCGGAAGGATATTTCTGGAGCCGAGTGCATTCTGCTGCTTCAAGGTCATTCTCAGTGACAAGATCGCAAATACTTGAGGAATCTGTGAGCTAAATAGTTCAGTGAAGCAGTGGCTGTTGACGGCCGTTTCCTGTCCTTTTTAACGACGTCGTGTCAACTGAATGTTTGTTTTCGTTATGGAACTTGTCAAAGTGATGATTCTATGAACTGAGCTCTGGCCGCGGAGGATAAGTGGGCCAATCGGCGGCTTCGTGTTACTGCAGAGGAAGCAAGTCTCGTGACACCGCCATCAAGACGCTAGTCCATGCAAGAATGCGGTTTTGTGATTCCTCAGGAAGGGACCGATATCAGTGTGGTTGGCTCCGTTGCCGAGATTATGAAGCGTCACCAATGTTTGACGTCATAAATGTCGGACAGTTAACCCGAATTGTCTTCTGATTAATTGTTCTTCGTAAGCGGAAGAAGGTCTTGAACCTGAAGTGGATATACCTGCATAACAAAACCGGAAATAACTTGGATCTGACAGTGGCGAAACAACTAGTAACCTGCTTTTTATTTTGAGATGTCTTTTATAAACTTTTTATGTGCTTTCTATTGTGGAAGGACGGAACTGTGTCAATGCCTGGAGGCAAATACTTCGTTTCAATGTTAGGTGAGACGCACTGACCCGTTGTTACTGACTCACGGGCCGCCGCTGACAATTTTTTTTTGAAACTTAGCGCCAACTAATTAAAATCTAGGCAAACAGGTTTATATGTTGACCACTTTTCTGTAACAGATTTGTTAATTTGTCATTTTCATTATCCCTTCCCTTAAAATTACGCAGTGGAACCTAATTATATTTTATTACCATGCGGAGTGATAATACGTCGATGGACCGATTTTACGACGAACCCCTTGACTATAGGAGTTCATCGTGAGTTCCAGTTGTACCGTTAAAGTTAGTAAGGGGTCGTGTGACTCTCTCAGGGGCGCGATATAACTCGTGATCGATGTTGGTTCTTCGTCCTGTTGTTTGCGTCGGGCCACATCCGTCGATGTGATGGCAATTTCCAGCGTCGAAAACTTCATCAGCTCGCGTGGATCGAAGTTTAGTTTTCTGCGATGGATTTTATTTCGAAGTTACCAACTTACGTCTAATGAGATCTAATTTTGTGACGTTCAAGAAAATGTCGACGGGGTGGAAACTCCGAGCAGTACTTTTGACATTAATTTATTCTAATTATGCCATTTGGGTGAAAACTAAACATACTTTTTCTTTGCTAGCTTATTCCAGAAAAGTAAATTTTGAAATTGTGATATTCTCTGGGGATTCGACGTTCATTCACGAAGGAAAGCAACTGAATAACAGAGACAGAAAATGCAAAGACCAACAACTGACTGAGTATTTTTTGAAGAAACACAGCGAAGTTCTCAAATTTTGACTCGTGACATTACAGAATTTTGAAGAATCGTAGATTGTAACACACTACATTGTTTTACCCAGCATGCAGAGGGAATTTTTTTTTTACAGAGGCTGCATCCTACAGACAGACGTTCGGCACTCATAACGAAACAACATATCGAAGCAACAAGCTGATGCGATTTTGTGAATTTAAAATGTTGCTGCTGTCAATATAGATAACCATGTGACTGATTGATGTATTAGACGACTCCGTTTCATTTATATGGATTACAGAGCCGTAGTGAGTCTTCCCAGATACATGACCGTTTCATGTCACGCCATACCAGAGGGAAGAATTAAGTCTCTATCAGCCACGGGGCTAGATCGTCTTCCTTTGGAATGGAATTTGTCGGCCGACATGAATTCAGCCTAACTGTCGTCATGGAATTGGTGCAGCGTGTCTATCAGGAACATGATTGGATTCCTTGACGGACAAAGATCCGGTTGATGAGATTGAGTTATTGACAGTCTCTGGCCTTCGTCATACGAGGTTTTTGTTACCAAGTTTGTGTGACTTAATCATCACATAACAGTGACGCACAGCTCGTCTGTTTGGCCGATCGATATCGTACTATAGAAGCAATATCGATACAGTCAACATTCGATAAATATGAGTATTGGTGTTTTTTTTCCTCGGAACAGGGGATCACAAAAACGAGTTCTTTAGCGAGGCCAATATAACCTCAAATTATTTTCTTTTCTTAAGAACTAAACTGCCGGTCGTGCCGAATATTTACACAGCCGATGTATGGATTCGTAAGCAAAGTAATAATTTTGTCCTTGGGGCCCTGTTTAAGTACAGCACCGCACTGACGTACTTGGGAGTAGAGGTATGTCTCCACGCATTCATAACTTCGATACTGGACAGAGGGAGTGGTTAGCTGACCTCACCGGCCGCTTTACCCTCGCTTAAGTAACCATTGAATAGAGGGGTAGATGCCCCCAGAGCCGATCTGCATTAGATTAATCCAGTTAAGGAGACAAACAGCTTCATTCATTTAGTGCATTGCTTCCAAATCTCGTTTGTTGGCTTGGCTTGGAGGAAGTGCTTGCTTGTACGTAGTTCTCCAACCCGACACCAGGAGCCGCGTGTCTGAAACAGAAAGTCACACGCACGACGTGACGGTTTTGATGCAGAAAACAGGAAGACGGACGGACCTTCCAATTATGCGTTCATTTCATATGCTTTGTGAATTTAAGGCAGGAAAGCCATCGCAATCTTATGAAGATAATTTTATCTCTTGGGGTTATTTTATTAATATAATTTGAATGTTCCTCTGCTGAATAACAAAGATATAATTACGGAAGACACGCACATCGGCATGTTGTGCTGTTGAAACTTATTAAAGCCTGGTGGTAACTATATGTACCACTTAATTTAACAATCGGTAACGCTGTGTTTGATATTTGTCTGTCCGTATGATTCTCGTTGCAAGCTGGAATATTTTTTCTTCGACTCTCGACAACTTTATCTTCGCTGTCTGTCTGTGTCCCGTTTTAGGCGTCTTTTCGGGAGCGTTCACAATTTTCTCTCTGTCTATTCCATTTCCCCTACTTATATATCCAGTAACTGCAATAATCCCCATTTTCTCTTGTGCGTCTCTTCACGTTTCGTAAACCCATTAGCGGATACAGCGTCGATAAATAGCTTGAACCGACCGTAAGATGAAACCGTTCATCGCCCTGATGATGGAGGCAGCGTGGACCTCTGAAACGGTAAAATTCTACCAGGCGAAACGGCGCAACGAGACAGCAAGCCATCTTCAGACTCACCGTCGTGAAAACCTCCGATCCCACATGGTTACATGTTCGTAATCTCCCACGTATTTCTGACCTTTAGACAATTACGTAACTTATGAAGCAACGTAATTATTGGCGAAAGTGCGTTTTGTAATTTCCGCTGTTGTGATGTCACACGTGACTGATAGGAAGCGCTAGGCAAGGATGTAGGACGCGGTCTTGCTCAGTGACGGAACTTAACGTAAGTCTGCTCGAGTTCTTCGGCTGCAGAATTTCTTAGTTGGTTTGTAAGTTTGTAGGCCGTGCTGTTCATTTCTGCCAGGGAATAAAAATAGGGGTCGAAAGAACTTGAAGGGGTCTCTGTGGTTCAGGGTTAGTCGGTGGGCACGAACTTGGCTTTAAACGGGCGTTCCTCCCCTCGTGTGATGCTGTTGACTTTTTCCCCGCATCCAACGCGGGTTCGTCCGCGCCCTTGATCGAGCAGTAAAACATCAGCCCTCTCTTTTTCTCACATTTCAGCTTTCGTTGTGGTGTACGCATCGGGGATCGGGATCACGGCGGGGGCGCACAGGCTGTGGTCGCATCGCGCGTACAAGGCGAAGTGGCCGCTTCGGCTCCTACTCGTCACACTCTTCACGGTCTCAGGCCAGGTAGGTGCACACGTCTGTTTGCAGCGCCACGTGTATCAGCGTGTTGACAGAGGAAGTCACTCACTGTCCCAGTGCATTCCGTTGCTTTTTCAAGTTGCCAGGCCTGTCTCTGTTCGCAGCGCCACGTGTACCAGTGGGCCCTGGACCACCGGGTGCACCACAAATACAGTGAGACGGACGCAGACCCGCATGATGCTCGTCGGGGTTTCCTGTTCTCCCACGTCGGCTGGCTGGTGCTTACGCCACACCCTGAGGTCGAGGAGAAGAGGAAGTTCGTGGACATGAGCGATCTGGAGGCCGACCCCATCGTCATGTGGCAGAAGAGGTAAGTAACCTGGCCCGCCATCTATCCACCTTTGCTTCAAACATACAGTAATGAGCCCTGCATACGAGGCATAAATGAATTTAAGAAGAGAACTTGGTAAAAGTCTGTCTGCAGATTTCTAAAATGTTTTGATTTGGTGGAATAATTATTTTTGTCAGTTGTTGTAGGTCTGTAGAGTTGATGATGTTGGGCAGACTGAAAAAAACATCCGGTCAATACATGAGCCAAGTCTGAGTGAGGTTAGGTTTCTGTTGAAAAGTATAACCAGTGTACGTCACGAGGTTTTAATCGAATTATGGTAGAATCGATTATGAGATAACAGACTTCCTAATTCTGTTTGGAAGAAGAGTGGAAGGATTCTGTTGTTATGCCTACCTGTAAGAACATTTTAGTCGTTACTATTTATTAATATCTCTGTTATCAACGATACACACAAAATGTTATCCAACATGTTTCATCCATGCTTCAGTACATATGTAGACAAAATTGTTGTCGACGTGGATTTCAGTGCAATCGATCGACTGATTACTGCATCTCTCAAATGTGGGCAAACAATGGGACAGTGAGTGTATCAGCTATTTGTAGGCTACAAGAAAGTCATGTACGAGTGAAATTAAGCTGATTGAAATGCGTTTAACAAAACAATGTTGAATATGGCCTGTCACATTAAGGAGAGAACTTAACTAGGTTGACCTGGACGTTGTCGACGCC